CGGGCCCGCAGCGCTCCGCAGCCGCCTCGCGCAGCCCCCCAGCCGGGGCCGGCGACCAATCTGCTCAGCTGGAAGGCCATGTTCCCTGCGCGCTCAGCCTAGGTGCCCTGCGGGGCAAAGGTAAGAACCTTCGACTTTGAAGAGGGACTGCCGGGTCCGGCTGGGCGCCGGCGGCGGGGCATGCTGGGAGTTGTAGTTCGCCTGCTACCTCGGCCTGCAGGCGCCGGGCCCGCCCATTCGCGGCCACGCGGAAGCACCGCCCCCTAAGGACTGGTCCTGCCCGGGAGTGGGAGAGCTGGGGCGCAGGGTGCAAGCTCAAGGAAACCCACGCGCAAAAACAAACCCACTGTCATGGAATCAACTTTGACTCACGGCGACCCTACAAGTCAGGGTAGGAGTCAAAAATGACAGCAAACAGTAGGTTTGCCCCAGTGGGTTTCTAAGACCATTTGGGAGAGCAAAAAGCCTCACCTTTCTGCCTCAATGCTGCTGGTGGTGTCAAAGGTAACCTAAGGTAAACTCCCCACTTCCGCCTCCACTGAAATGTTCAGTGTCAGTTTGCAGAGGGATGCCGATGAAATGTCCCTTCCGCCGGCGTCCAGGTCCCCTAGAGCTTCTGGAGTTTGTAGGCGTGCTGGGTGGCAGTGGAACCTGGAAATTCCTTAGCAAAAGGCTAATGTTTAACCCACCCGTACATATGACCCTGTAGGGCCAAGTAGGGTTTCCCAGACTGTACATCTTTAAGGAAGCCGATAGCCTCAACGTTCTCCCCTCGGAGGAGCTGGTGGCTTTGAAACCTTGATATTGCGGTTCCCAGCACAAGCAATACCCACAGGCCATCAGGGCGCCTCAGGCAGAACTAGTCCAGGCCATTTAAAAGATGTCTAGAAAAAGACTTTTTGGGATTGTGCTCCCATCGCCGTTCTGACTCTGAAATAGACGTTGCTTCTCCGACGCTCATTGATCTTTTTACAACTACGAGAAGGAAACGCAAAGCAACTCTTACTTGCTCAGCCTAAAACTTGTCGTGGGGTGTGTCAGTGATTAAGACACTTGGACTTGTGCACCCAGCTGCCGAGAATAGATTCCAAGTCACAGGGCTGTCCCAAAGTTTAAATTCTAAAGGCTGGTGGATTCAGACTTCTGACGTTGCAGTTAACAGCCAAGTACTGAGCCCATAGTGCCAAGGTGTCACCAGGGCACCATTATAAAACACTGTAGTTTAGTGAGCATTTTGATTAATAAGTAATACACATTTTATACTGCCACATATTTCTCCCATTTCAAAACCTTGACAACTCTTGAGGCAGGACGAATATCTTATCCTGCTTCCCCAAACTAGCTCTCCATTTACCTCCTGCCCCTCCCACGAAAAGGGGAAAGAAGTTAACATGATTCTCAAGTTTTTTATTACTGTAATCATAGTAATATGATAGCTGAGGGTTCAGTGCTCCTCTATTTACAGAAAGGCTGGCCGTCTAAACCCACCCGTGGGCCTGGAAAGGCAGGCCTGGCAGTTTACAAGGTCACTGACTTGAAAACCCTATTGAGCAGTTCTCTGTACACACACGAGGTCACCATGGGTCTGAATCAGCTCATGAGAACCGACAGCAACCATCCCACAGACCCATGCTGTTAGCACATAAAAGTGTAAGGACAATTGTCATGTGCTTCATTGTCCTTAAGTCTCCATGATCATTCCATTGTCTACTAGTAGAAGTGTTTCGGAAGAAGTACAGGCAGAATTCTCCTGAGAAGGGAGGACCTGGAGACATCATCTCACCAACTGGTATCTGGAGAGACTAGCCCGTGGAGAAGGACATCAGGCTTGGTAAAGCAGAAGGTGGGTGAAAAGGAAGGCTCTCCGTGAGAAGACAGACTGACCCCGGGGCTGCACCAGTGGGAGGATTCAAGGCGCAGGACTGGGCAACATTTCGCCTTCTTTGCCGGGCGTTGCTGGAAGTCAGAATCAACCACAGCAGTGGATAATGATGTAAGGCACTAGTCACTGTTCCCACAATGTGGTGACTGTTCCCACAAGTTCGGTCTGAGTAGCCAAAAGCAGAGATGGAACCTGACTGGCAGCTTTCCCCATAAAGATATAACCAAAGTTAACTGCTGAACCATGCCTACCCAGCCATGCTTAGCAGCTAAGATGCAGCGGAGGGCAAAGGCCTGGATCGAGACCAGAATAAATTGCTTTGAGGGAAGACAAACGCCCAGCGTGGAGCCGTAGTGAAACGTATGGGGGGACTGAGCTGGAAGAGGAGGCAAGGAAAGATAAGAATTATCTCTCTCAAATAGGAGTTGCTTGCTGCTTCTGGGTGCCTGTGATGGGGCTGGTCAGTCCTGGTGGTGGTGATAAATGACCTAGTTAATGAAAAGGCACTGCTCGGGTCACTTTTCTCGAAGCACCCTCTTTCATATTGCTCTAATTCTGAGAATACCCCTAAAGTTAGTAAGGAAACAAGCAGAAACCGACAGTTTGAACATTTGCCCAGTCACGTGGGCTGGCTTTGAGCAGGTTGCACAGAGGCTTCCCAGCTCCATCATCATTGGCTATTCTGTGCAATGGGCCTCGCCTTTTCTCCTCTGATTCCAGTCCCCTGCCTATCTTCATCCCTGTTATGTAAGGCTAGGAAGGGCTCTGACAGTCAGCTTAGTGTGAATCTGAATCATCTTTAAGGGGTTCCAATTATCACCAAGAGAAATACTTAGCTGTTAAGTCTTATTTGTTAGTATGTATGTACCAATAAATAAAAATCTATGCTGGTATTCTAAAATAGACTTTGGTGATATTTGCACAACTATTCTTAATATGAATGAGCTATTGAGTTGTATGCTATGTGAATTATATGTCAATAAGTCTATTAATATATACATACCAGGAAATAGGACTTAAATATATGACATATATGTAATATGTAACATATAATTGTCCTTAAGTCTCCAGAGTAATTTCAATTTCTAGTAGTAGGAAGATCTTGGAAGAAGTACAACCAGTATTATCCTTAGAAAGATGAGTCAGAAAACTATGTGTCAGAATTAATTCAATGGTTAGTTTATATTATATACATATACACATGCAAATATGCATATGTATATTATAAATGTACATGCAACTTACTTTGTCTCCACTAGCATTTTGATGCTGGAAATTGAACAGGACATGTTTACATATATATATGTACATGTATACATATATGTTTATGGAATATACATTGTACATGTGTATGTACATATATATCTATATACATGTATATGTGTACATATATTTTGTCAGAACTTGTCAGACATGGACCTAATATGCCATTTCAATTTTCACCAAAATATCATTGAAAATTTTTCTTTAATTGAACAAAAATTATTCAAGAACATTAATAGGTAGATTTTTCACAGCGAGTTAGCACTCTCTTTCCTTGTATTCCCGTTGATCCACTCCAAGTATTCTAGTTTCCTTGCCCCCTTATCTTCTCAGTTTGACACCCAGGATTTTAAATTAAGACCCTATTCATGGTTAACATTTTACATGTCAATTGGTTATTTCACTAAAAGGTGACTTCGGAGGATAGGTTCTGTTCATTGAGGTAATTCTAGAATTAGTTTCTTACAGAGATATATATGTGTAGGCCTCACAGAGATTCTAGAGAGTTTTGTAAAAGGGGAAGATTCCAGAACATGTACACTGCTACAGATAAGAGCCCGCAACACAGGGACTCCAGGACAGATTAAACCCCTCAGGACTGAAAATGAACATAGAGATTCCAGGAGGATAAGGGGAGGGTGGGGGTAGAAAGGAGGAATCAATCACAAGGATCTACATATAACCCCCTCCCAGGGGGACAAACAACAGAAAAGTGGGTCAAGGGAGACAGCGGACTATGTAAGATATGAAAATAGTAATTTATAATTTATCAAGGGTTCATGAGCGAGGGAGGGTTGGGGAGGGAGGGAAAAAAATGAGGAGCTCAAGTAGAAAGAAAATATTTTGAAAATGATGATGGCAACATATGTACAAATGTGCTTGACACAATGGATGAATGTATGGATTGCAATGAGAGCTGTAAGAGCCGCCAATAAAAGTATTTAATAATAAAGCGGGAGGGCAGATTCTCCCGCTTGCCTCTCCAGCCTTTTCTTCTTTCCCTTTAACATCTCCCCAGTTCTTCCCTCCCTGCTATGATATGTACGTGATGTGTGGAGATGCCACAGCCGTTTAGTGAGCCAGATTATGAACATTACATGATGCAGTTTGCCAAGTGGGATGACCGGAAGAGCCTCGGACCTGATGACGTTCTTAAGTAGCTGGAGCAGCCTTGAGCTGCCTGCCTTAGAATTCTTGTACCGGGGGAAAGACGAAGAAAGAAATTTAAAGAATTACTTATAATGTTGTTTGTTATTGCAGCATAATGCTTCCAGTTTAAAACAACCAACCAAACAAACAAAAACCCTAAAGCACTCAAACTCACCTCCAGAGAATCAATGGGGGCTCCTAGAGACTGTATAGGGCAGGGTAGAACTGCCCCTGCAAGTTTCCGAAACTGTAATTCAATAACATTAGTAGGTAGTTTGTTGGTTTGTTTAGATTAACTAATACAATGTTTTTTGTTTTTGTTTTTTTAAATTAAATAATCATTTTATTAGGGGCTCATACAACTCGTTTTTTAAAGGAGTGTAAAAATTTTTTTTCTTTCGGGAGGGAAAAGCCCTGTCTTTCCTCCTGAGGAGCAGGCAAG